ATTTCGCGAGATGATATCATCATTTCGTAGTTTCTTTACAACCGCTTTACAACTAACATAATTAACAATGATAAAATAAAGTTCGTGATAATTACTCAGTTGAATAAAAAACAAAAGTACATACTAATGACCAATCATATTTAGATAGGTCATGTAGTCCAGGGTAGGCGAAGATTGAAGTCTATTGATTTTTGACTGAACACACAGTTTAGGCTGTATGTGATTAATCCCCTAAAGTGCTTCCATCACCTTCAATAACCTTGAATTAGAGTTATGTGAAATAATAATAATTGTGAAACAGTCATTAATATTGATTTTGTGATCAGACATTAATAAGTGTTTTGCAATGGATGATGCTGGATTTCTATTCAGATTAATGAATGCATTCGGATTTTCTATATGTTTTAATAACCATTTTGGAACATGTTCTTTTCGACGACGACATTGGAACATTCTGTTGGTTCTACCTGTATAGGTGTGTGTCACCGCAGCTGCAGGTGAAGTTGTAGATATAGTTTTAAGTAGAGTCAATAAAATTTCGTCTTTTAGTCGTAGGTACAGGGAACGAAAATGTTCGACAAGTAAGAAAAAGAGATGTGGCGTAGAAAATGCGTTTGATGGCTGACCGAAGTCTTTGAACTAGCTGTCAACTACATAATCTGGTCGCCCTTGAATGGTAGGTGAATAAAGATAGCTTTCTTTGGTACAGAAGCTGTCTTTTCGAGATGTGGTCTTTCCTTTAATGTGACAAGTGATAGAGTTTTCCGGATAACCATTAGCTAATAAAACTGAATGTATATGTGGAAACTCATCCATCGGTGTGTCACTCGTGCGTATTTTTCGGGCCCTTGATAACAAACATTTCACTAGGGAACGTTGATACTGGGTGAGAACAAAACTGGTAAAATGAAGATATTGTCCACTCCATGTCTGTTTACGAAAAATAGAGCGCTGAATCGTTCCATCATCTATCCTAGTCATAGTAATATCCAGGAAATCGAGTTTGTTATTGGATTCTTGTTCGGAAGTCACTCGGATATATGGATAAATATGATTAAATAGAGTAATGAAGTTTTGAATAGATTTACTATTATTACCAATAATGAGAGTATCATCAACACAACGTTTATACAGCATAAATTCTCCAAGCATACCTTGCATTTGTCTCTCCAATATCGACATGAAAATATCTGCTAACAGGGGCCCAAGAGGACTTCCCATCACAACACCACCGATTTGTTTGTATGCCTTTTCTTAGAAGGTCAATCTAATATTTTCTGTACACATTAAGATGATGTCTCTGATGTAAGTTACAGGAATAGGAATGCCCTATTACTATTGTCACTTTGATCTGTCCCCACTATTATTTCACTTGTTCCACTTGTCATTCTAAATCAATTCTCCTGTTTTACAACGTTAAATTCTATGCTATCGAATTTCACACAATATTACGTAACGTTTCTGCTTTCATTTTATTCGATTTGTCTACTAATCCTATAATTGCACACCCTTTTTCAAGTTCTATCCATCCTATGAATTATTCTACATATATGACATTAGTTTGCTTTGCCACTTGACATTTAACTACGATTATAATCACAAACATTTTAGTTTTAATTGCATTTCATACTACTATTATTATCATCATTATTTTATGCATTCACACCTATGATTCAATTCCCTCACCGGACATAACTTCTTAAAAACCACATATATATATACATATATTACTGAATTTGAGATTTTCCCGTCGATTGATTGGACCGAAGTTCTCGGTCTCAGTTTGACATGTCGGCTTCTTGTGCAGATGCTTCGACGATGTCTGGGCATTTAGTTAGTATTTAATTGGTGGATGGTGACTAGCATTGGAATCCAGGATCCAATCAATCGACGGGAAAATCTCAAATTCAATTCAATAATAATATGACCCGTTGCACAAGAGGTGACTATTGTGGCCCAAGTGGTCTAGTGGATAACGCTTTGGCGTTTGAAACGATGGGTACTGGGTTGGAGCCTCGGTGGGAATATCATCACTCAATGGGAAGCCAGGTGCATCCAGATAGCCGACGAGTCCTAAATAGGACGAAATGGGCATCCTGGATTCCACAGCTAGTCACCATCCACCAATTAAATATATATATATATATACACGATTGTATAGCTTGATGATAAATTGGTCGTTGAAAAGAGTCTCTTCGCTTAATCACTTGTTATGATTTTCTATATGTTACAGTGGGAATTTTCCATGAGTTGTTGGTGTTGTTTTTCGATATTTATTTCTGACTTAATGAGTTTTTCTGATGTCAAACGCGCACACACAGTAAGGGATACAGAGAATTCATAATCGGATGACGTTTCGAGCTGTTCAGTATCACGGATGGCATCAATGTATTCACGGAAACTCCCTACTGTTTAAAAAAAAATTGTATTCTAAGTTGCTGAGAAATGTTTTCCGGGACACTGTCGATGAACTGGGACGCCAATAAGTGTAACTCCGACTCTTGATCCAATGTAAGGAGTGCACAACGTAGTAAATTCGCCAACACTAGAGGGTCTACATCCGGTTCCAGCTTCGCGTCACAGAACTGTTGCATCGTCAGCCGCCTGTCTGTTGGGCTGTCGAACTCTGCGACCAATCGTCCAACCAATATATTGCAGGTATTCTTCTCATCTGTCCGCTCAACACTGTTGTATGTCGCATTTGTTCGACCTCTTAGTAGCATCCTCAGCATGATAACCCTGACTGTTGGGACCTTGACGCTCATCAACTCACCGACGGCCTCAAAATCCCGAATGAAGCTCCGTATTTCTTTGAAAGCAACCGGATAAGGGATCTTCATTGTTTGGAGGCAGTGAAACCACACTTGTAAGGGAAGAAGACAAATTACTTGGTATCGTTGTATAGCGAAATTATGTACACCTTATCTTCAAGGCACAA